CTATTCCTGACCTCGGTATAAGTGGTTTTAAATGCCGAGAAGATCATCACACTGTTAAATACGCAATTAAGTTATGCTGTTGCGGAAAGAAAGCCTGCATGAGTGCTGTTTTGTTAGGCACGGAGATAAAATTCACTAAAAGGACTTTGGTATTGAATACTGCTCTTCTTTATATTTCCAAGAAACGGTTAAGTACAGCTATGTTTTTATGAACAAAAAGCGGAAAATATTCAAGGAAACTACCGACAAACTCTGGAAAAGAAAATAGGGAGGGAAATGTTTGTTTTTTGTGTGTTTGTTTTGGAAAAATTTTGTAGTTTTTCAAGCGCCACTGGCCCGTGACTAAAACTTAAGCAGCAGCTGCAATATAATAATATAAAAAATTAGCAGTTGAGAACGTAGTTTTGGATGTATTTCTAACCATTTCAGAGCAAAGTCTGATATAATTGCGCTTCCGCGCTCAGTTAGCCCCCCGCTAACCCAGTCACCCCATTCACTAGTTGCCGGGACATATATAGAACGAGACATGGCATGATTATTTGTCATTATGATAGTAAGTCCTTTATCCTACCTGCCTGAAGTTCCGATATTTTCACGATAGCTTTAGTTGTCCAATAGCAGTTTATGAACCAGGAATTCCACAATTATCTGTTCGAAATGTGCACATTTAAAGCCTCGGGCTTGAAGAAACTAACAGGCCAGCTGCCTCTTCAAAATTGTCTCCCAAAAAGGCGCGCGGTGGTTTCTACTTGATTTTCTCTTCTTTGAGTTAGTCCGCATATATTACGTTGTGCATAATTATGTTTAATTATTCCACAAACTCTTTCTGCCTTTTATCCTCACCGCATTGATAAAATCCATAGGGGTACGGTTGACCCAACAAGCAACACTATGAAACAGTGAGAAAAAAACAACATAGAAAGATTCAGTTTCCAGTAATAACGAGTCTTTGGTAAAACAGTAATTTTTTAATTCTGAAATGCATGTGTTCAGAGTCATTTGAATAATTATGTATTTGAGCAACATTTATTTAATATTCACTTGATTGGCTCAATTTGTCTTGCTTTCAAATGTTTATTCGTTCGGTAAGAACCCTACCAGGAAAACTGAAAGTTAGACGAGAGTTATTATTATTTTGTAACAGCAGATGTTTTCCCGCCAGCTCAAGAGAATTGAAACGGGAGTGAAAATACTAACTGTCAACACTTCACACAACTGTCTTCACGAAAACGCGATTTTCGAGCTTAAAATGTTCTTATGAATAAAGAGAAATCTGGCTGAATAGGTTCTTAAACCATCTTTTTTATAGGAGTGAATATCACAAAATTATTACTGAAATGGTGTTTAAAGTGCCGTAATTAAGAGATATAGAATACCATAAAGATGCTCTACTCGACCTCTTTTTATCAGTACGGGATCAAAGTTTGTGATTTTGTCGCTAACACCGAGAAGGACTGGTCAGGGACCCTAAGCGGAGCAAAAAGAGCTGTAATGTGGTCGGTTACTTTACCAAGCGAGGTCACTGCGCTCGACTGCCAGAGGACTTTGAGAAAGTCTATTTTAATGTTCTTTCGAAAGTCCTTGAAAATGCCTTGATCACTCTTTGGTCTGCAGCAGAAAACTTCCGTTCTATTTTAGGGGACATTATAAATTAGACAAATTTCCCAAACCACGGAGAAACCTGGTCGTTCTTACGCCGTATATATAAAATAAAACAAAACTGAACACAAGGCTGGCACTACGGCAAAGGGCTGATTTATTATTAAATAGGCCAAAATTTCGGCTAACAAAATTAGCCTTCGTCAGGGCCAGTGCCAACGGTAGTTTCTATCATGTGGCGAGAATTTTGAGAGAGTGAATTAAAAATTACCTGGGTCTTCGTTTGAGACCTGCATTTAAGTGCGAAAATGACTTTGCTTTGGGGTTTGATATAATTTACGAAAATTCAAGCCAAACGGACAATTTTTTTGTTTTTTAGCTTCAAATAAGCAATTTTCTATCAACCCTTTCGGTTTTATTCCTTTTTTTCAGGATTTAAATTGAATTATACTCCACGGGATTTCCGTTGTAATATGTTAAGGTAAGCAATTAACAATTGCAAAATCCCCAAAATAGTATGGGAGAAGTGCGGGATCGAATATACCTCATGCAGCTTCGCTGAAGTTTTTTTTTTACCAAGGCCGTCGAAAATTTTGCCCTGTTTTAGGTTGAGATGACGAAATGCCATTTTGTGTTGATTTTGTAATCTAACTCAAACTCTTCACTGCCAACATTTTAAAACGATCCCTAGTATTTTCGGAATCAGCCAATAGAAATTAAGTCAGTAGAATCAGCCACTAGGCGACATCCGGTTGGCTAATCTTGAACCACGGAAGCAGACAGAAATCCTTAAACAAGAAAATGGAAGCAGAAATTCGAAATCCCGTTTGCAAAATCAGGGTTCTAACAAATAATTATCAGCCCTACGAACGCAGACGTCTTTCCGGTCCTCTCTTCTCTTCTCTCCGGTCGTCGCTTTTCTAGCAGCGACCGGAAATACATCTGCTTTTGCAGGCTATAATGAACTTTAGCGATGGCAAAATACAGTCAAACCTCTGAAACCTCCACGTGCGACCACCTTCCTAATACACCAAAAATGTTCTCAGCCAAACCTTATACTGGAACCTCTTAGAATAATTATACCGCTCCGTTCTAGGTTGAATTAAAAAATTTCGCCCTTGCGATCTGTCTCTCTTAAGCGACCACCAAGCCTTTGCATTTGGGTTGTAGCTTACAGGAGGTTCGATTCGATTGTAGTACTGAAATGCATGGCAAAAGTTTATAAACTAAATCAGTAGAATGAAGACATCAAAGGAAATTTACCTTAGGAAAGGGATTATTCTTGTATCCTCTATAAAGTACTAGTTGAGTTATACATTCATCTTACAGTTTTAATTCTCAGAAAACGATGAATATGCGCCAGAAAGCTTTCGTATTGATTCCGGATACCTGAGTTCCGTTTGCTGATTCCAAGTTGTAGATAACTCGATAATATGTAGATTTAGAGAGAACTTAAAAATTGAAAATGGGCCTAGCAGCAGCTCATAAAAAACAATAAGTTACTCGATATCATATCATATCCAGAACAAACGTTTTTCAAGACAGCGAAATGTTTCACCGGACAATGTTTTTCTACGTGTATTCGAAATTTTACATATAACACCCTTTTGTTTGAAACAAGCAGTTATTTTGTCATCTACCAGCAACTTCTACGCTACCATTGCCGCTCTTTGCAATAACATGCGACCTCAAGTAAAAAATTGACTAACGTTTGCATTTTTCGCCTCCGTCAACACTCTAACGGACCTCTCAGGAAACAAAGGCTTCCCACAGCAGGTTCAAAAGGTTACGACTGTAGGTTGTAATTGGTTGATTTCGACCCATGTTGTTTATTTCGTTTCATGGTAATTATGATTGACAACTAACTTTCTCGGAATGTATATTGATATTTTCCTGCCATCCAACTGGTCAACTTTACCTTGGTGGCCCCTGTTATAGTAGCACTGTAAAAGCTAATAACTGGCCAGCTGAAAACCAGTATAGTCATGAGAAACTGGTCAGCGAATACCCTTTTCCGACAGCTGGTAGGTACTTCATGTATGGGGACATATATTGTACCGCTTTTACCTAATTAACTTATAACTTCACCCTTTCTGCTTGATTCCTTGTTGAAGCTGTCAACTGACCAAAGCATGGAGGTATATCGCAGGCTCGTACACAATCTAAATAAGATCATTTCTCACTGGATACTGTGTTAGGGACAGGCAGACCAGCGGGTGGACGGACTTACGGTCACGTGACTGCCAAAATTTCTCGGACGCATAGATAGCCAAATTTTCTTACCCACTGTGCTCCGCTGCGCGTGCTTCGCGCACGCAAGAGTACCGCTATTCGTTATTACCATTTTTACTTAACCAATAAAAAAGCCTTGACTCTGCTCGGTTCTGTTGTTCTGTGGTATAGCAGTCAGGAAGCGGCTAGAGCACGAAAGCAGTGCAGGGAAAAACACGAGAAATAGGCGAGAAGTTTCTCCCAACTTCTTGAGTGCCCTAGCTACTTCCTAAGTACTTTGCAACAGAACAGAGTACAGTCAAGGCTTCTTTATTTGTTTTATGATAAAGAATCCGTTTAATTTCCCACGCATTACGCTCTCACCTTTCAAAACGTGGCGTGACAGCTTTACCTCCATGTTTTATATTCTGATCCGGGGGGTACTCAACAAATTTTTATACGGGGAGGCTCCACCCCGAGGTCCAACCCCTTACCCTTTCGTATACCTTCTATTGACAAATGGTACCCCTTTCATACGCCTCGTTTAGAACTTTGCATCTCTTTTAACTGCTGTGAATGCATTGTCATAGAACGTTTTCCCTCCTCTATGAAGTCATAAAATTCATATGTTAGCCCTTGTAGGCCCTTTCACATACCCAAATGACAGATTTTCCTACCCTTTGAAATACTTCAACGAGTAAAATCGCTACCCTTTCATATATCTGAGGCCTGGAAAAGGTACCACTTTAGGGCGGAGCCTCCTGTTGTAGGCCATGATAGGGAGTACCCCTCCCCCCGGGGCTCTCGTAAAGCACGCTTTTGCAACCCAGTCAGGGCACATGCAGTTGTTCTGGCCCCGGTTCCTGAGAGGGCGATTAGCGAAAATCCACTAATTACCTTAGTATGCATCATCTAGAGTAAAATTCTATGTTATCATCGCTGAATCTCGGAGTAAAGACAAAAGTATTTTGTAAGCTCGAGTGACAAGTTCGTAGACGAGAAAACCTTGCTTAAAATTTGACCTAATCCTGGGTTAAACTTAACCATTATAACCGATTATAAATTACGTCACGTCCGCCATATTTCCGCTTGGGCAATGATGGTGTCGCATACTAATCCTATGGGAGTTGAAACTTTTTGTTATTCAAATACTTCTTTATGCCCCAATATATTTGCATAGCTGCTCAGGCCACGTGAGTAAATACGCTTTTTTTATCAGCGATTTCTTCAAAGCCACCGGGACAACATCTTTGTTCTTCGGTCCATATAGTTAGAGAAAAAATGTAGATGACCAAGAGGCTGTCTCGAGATTTAGCGGAAGCGATTTATTATTGCAAACTCCTGGATGGAATTGGCTGTTCTCGAATAAACGTGGTATGTTGAAGTTCACGTGTGAATGAGCTCTGACTACAAGGCACAGGCAATTCATTTCAGGTACCTGTTTTGTCTTTCTTCTATTGATCTTTTTGCATGAGATAATCACTGTTCATTAATTAATTTATAATTCGTATCGGGAGAAAAGAATTTGACAGCAGCTAGAAACGGAAAAACACAGCACAAACAAAACTGAAGCGCCTTATAAACTGATTAAGCAAATCTGGGGATCTCTGACTGCTCTGATCTTGACCTTCGCCTCTATCTACAGGTATACCAAGCTCGAAAGTACGAATAGTTGCTGACTAACGTAAATTTTAAGGGTTTGAATGGGATTTTTAGCGACCGCTGCTTGGGAATCTAAAAATGCAGTGAAACCTCTATTAAGCGGACACCTTAGGGACCTTCCCAAGTGTCCGCTTAATAGAGGGTGTTCGCCTTATAGAAGTGTGTAAAAATTGCGCAATGTTTGTTAAAGGTTAACATTTAACGGTTACGCTGTACTGTGATAAAGTTCCATGAAGTGCTGTACTTTGGTCAAGACTTTTAGGTGAATTTTCATCGTAGATGAAAATCATAAGGCCGGATATCGTTCTAATCTTCAATATATTGACATCTAAACGTATTGATTTATCATTATTAATCGACTACAGTACGTATTCCAAGGACGTAATCCAATACTACTATTGTCAATTCAGTCGAGTGTCCGCTTAATAGAGGTTTCACTGTAGTAACAAAACAGCAGAATTCCTTAGCTAGTCGTAATGTTTTATTTATATTAACAGAAATTCCGACTAGTTTTAGAGCCTGTTTACATGAAGGTGGGGGACCCAAGGTAGGTGAGGTAACATGGGGTGGGTTACCCCACCTAACATGTAAACGTGATCACATTAAAATGAGAGATTATATGGACAGGCGGGTTACCCCACCTAAGCGGGTTACCTCACCTATCTGGGGTACCCCACCTCCATGTAAACAGGCCCTTAGTCGTGCCATGTTTTTTTTCTCTACCGGAACTAGAATCGCTCTCAGACGACCAAAAATGCCAAGAACGCGCAACAAACCAAAAATAGAAACAAGGAATTCTCCTTTATTCTTACGTACAACTTTTTTTTATCTTCTGATCAGATTCCTATACAAATAAGTCTCGGGGACGAGGTGTAGAAAATACGAGTAGAAAGCATTCACTGGACTTAAGTGCTGTTTTTCTACAGTTATGAATGTATGAGTCAGGGAAGAGACTGGGGATTCTTGGTGGGGGTGTGCTGCCTGGTTCTCCAAATCCTGACCCGATTTCAGACCAAAAAATGTAATTTTCCACACCCGTTTTCAGACCAGACCTCTAAAATCCATATCCGTTTTCAGACCTGGCCTTTAGGCAGAAATTATGTTATCATTACTCAGATTAGAGCGCAAACAAACAAACTCATCAAATCTATTTCGAATTCGCATATTTCTCGTTTTTTCTTACTCATTTGGAATTGAAACGATAACCCGATTCCAGACCAGAATGGGCAAAGTGTATACCCGTTTTCAGACCAAAACGGCCCATAAACCCTACCCGATGGGGCGGCACATACCTATATAGCTTATATAAGGGAGTACCCCCCCCCCCCCCCCCCCCAATCGTTATTAGTATTCCGGAATCCTTTAGCTGTATTTTGGATTCCAAAGCCCAGGATCCCGGATCCCACAAGCAAAAATTTACCTACTAACAATAATTGAAATCTAACACCTGGATCCGAATCCACGGCGTCGAATCCAGAATCCAACACTGTCTTGAATTCCCTTATATGGGGTGAGGACTATATCCGTTATTTAAGGTTGGTTTTCGACTCGCGTTGTTTGCGTTATTTATTTCACAGTTCAATGCGGGCTGTCCAAACATTGTAAACGGCACACCGTCCAACCTTTCGAGTATCTAAAATGGGGATTTTTAAATCATCGATGAATGAAGCGAGCGCCGAAGGCGTGAGCCTCTTAGAGGGAGGGGGGAGGGGGGGGGGGGGGGGAGGATTTGCTCCCCCCAGAAAATCTTGAAATCTTGATTCTCTCAAAATCTTTTTCTAGTTTTCTAAGAAGAAACTTTCTGTCTAAAATGTTCGCCAAATCGATTTTCATTATTATGCCTATTTTTATTTGCCAGGCCTCCTGTGCAAGTACTCGATTTTATTTTATATTTTGTGCAGTTTTTAAAGTTTTCTGCATATTAGTCTCAGTTATGTATACTCTTTTACTAGGTGTTCTTGCATAAATATCGTAAGAATTCATTTGAAAATATCAGAACAGATTTCAAAATCGGGATTTTTCCTGTCCTGATCGCATAGTGGTAGGGATTCGGGACTTTCAAGCAAAATCAGGAGAATTCCGACGAGATCGGGATGGTTGAACAGTCTGAAACGACAACAACTTTAATTTAAAGTCGGTTATAGCAGCCACCTTGGCTGACAAAATCTACATAACGTCTGATCGGCAATTGAAACTACAGAACTTACTTAAAATTCCCTTAAACTAAACACACTCTCTTCTTCATACATTTTCCTAAATTGAGGCCCGAGGAAGGAATTTGATAGCCTGACCGAAGCAAGTTGCGCAAGACGCTCGCGCGTGATTCGTCACGTTATCCCTCAAATGGAGAGATTGCTTTCAAGCAGTAATTTGAAAGTGAGAGGGCCCGATGTTTGGTACTGGTGTAAGCGTGCCTTTAATACTGTTTTGTCCTCGTTCCTGTAGGGGGGGGGGGCCATGGTTATCCCCCCTGGATAATTAATTACATCTTCTTATAATTAACTTTGGGGAAGGGGGAGCAGGGCACTTGCCCACTCGCTCCCCTACTCCTCCCGGGTCTTGATTGCGTAATATTTGAAGTCCCTTTGTACTATATGCCATTCGCACAAAAATGGATGTCTTCTCCATTTAAGCGCTTCCATCTCAAAGATTTCATCGCGTTACGTTATCAAACTGACCGGATAGTACAAGGAAATTTTATTTGACACTTCCGGTTCAAATTCCTCACCCCACTCAGCAACAAATCAAATACCCGAACTACTGGGAATACCTTTCGCGTCAAGTTCCCTACTCCCTTGGCACAAGTAATGGTCAAATGCCCAGGGTATGCCCGGGGAAATTTTGAAGTTTCGAATCGATTGGTGTGTTACATCGATCGGTGTACAAATCGCGTCTTCAAAATATTTGCTTGTTCCTCGAAAAAATGGGATATTTAACAATTATTCCTCGAGCTCGAATGGGCTCTGAGTCGTTCTCGCGCAACTTTAGCTAGCAAAGCGCGATTCAAACGCCATTGTTTTAGTTTTTAAAGCCGGCGCTTTTCGCTACTAGTGGACTATAACATATAGCCTAGTAGTAGCTTATCCAATCATAACGCAGCATTGATAATAGACCACTAGTTGGATTTTACTAAAAAAGAATATTTATTTAGTTTAGCAAACAGCAAATAGCAATTTTTATCTATCGGATAGTGGTATTTTTGTTCTTCTTGCCATATTTTTAGGCAGTATGATCTAAATATAAAACACAAAAAGCGGTAATGAACATTGTGAGCTTTCGCATTTTTACAAACTTCAGTGAAACTTGACGTTTTGTATGCTATTTAACATAAGAGCTGTAGTTCGGCCATTTCTTTTTTCTACCGATCTGCTGTCCCCTTTTCTGAACAATCATGGCAATTATCTTCCAATTTTGGTCAAATTATTTTATAACAAACTATTTCATCTTAATTTTTGTCCTGACAGATAATGCTCTTTTGGGAAATGGTCTTCAGAAAAAAAAGCAGAGGAAGCACTAACCAAAAAACTTCGTGAATATTTTGTTAAGAATGTGAAGATTGCCGAAGCAGACCAGGCGCGCGCAAGAAGCCTAGTGAGAGACTGCATTAAGGATCAGATCATTAAATATTGCAAACAGAACTCGTCTCTTCCAATCTTGAGAATTGAATACACTGGAAGCGTGTATGAGAGGCTTAAAACGGAAGCTGCCGATGAAGTGGATATTATGGTAGTACTGAAAACCCATAAGCCATTGCTATGGGGTGATCCGGAAGTTCTGGTTGAAGATGTAGGTAAAGCTGGGTATGCGCTACTCAAGGCAAGAGATGACTCCAGACTTCGGAGTTACGCCAATTCTGAAGGGTACATTGATCCAAAGCGGCTCCGAAATGGCTGGTTTTATAGTCTTGTTGATCGAGCAGTAAATGCTTTTAACAGACATGGAAATTCGGGTGTCAGGTTAAAAGTACGTTATCACGGGCCTGCTGTTCAAGTTGATATCACAGAAGAACAAAATGATGTCTTACTGTTATCAGTTGATCTCGTTCCTTGTTTCGAAATTGAAAATGGTCAATACTTCGTCCCAAAATCGAGTGACCCAGTGCACGATCCCTCCTCCAGTCTCCTCTGGAGGCAATCGTTTTCACTTGATGAAAAGGCACTGTTGCAGCGCATGGATAAGGATGACCATGGCTGCAGACACGAGCTGCTAAGAATCGTAAAAAGCATCGTCAAGTGGCAGAGGACATCACTCGGGCCTTTGGAATCTTATCACGTGAAGAGTGCCTTTGTACATTACATTAAAAAGAATCTAGACGATTGGGATAGCCGGAGCTGTCGATTCCTTGGAAAACACTTTTTAGGTTTTCTTAGGGAACTTCATTCCTTCCTTGAGGAAGGAAACCTTCCTCTCTATTGGCTGCCAGAGGTTAACCTGCTGGAAGAAATAAATCCAGTAGTGCTTAAAAATATGGCGAATCGTCTGAAGAGAATTCTCAATAGTGAAGCAGAAATTGATCGCATTCTATCTTCCAGAATACACTTGGAATGTTTAATTGATGAGGATGAGATATATAATTTACATTACACTTCTCATCTTGAAATGCCGCAATTAGATGCAGATGGTGAAGAAAGGTCTTCTCTCCAGGCGTTTATTCTATCAGGCGTAGAGTTAGTGGTTGAATCAGTGCAGGATTTTTTAAATTTTGCTATCATTTGTATTAGTTTTGTTTTAAAAGTTTTCAATGTCATATTACGTTGTTTTCTGCTGTTACTAGCAATCACTGTAATCATTGACGTTGTAGAGAAGGCCAAGCTTCAGCTTAGTATTGTAACTTACAAGGTCCCCTAAGTTGGATGGAAGCTGTAGATCATGCGAAATGGAAACAGTAAAAAAGACTTAGACTATACGTTTTATTTAGTTTTTGATGCAAGGTCTCGCATGTACAATTTCATAAATGAAAGGCAACAACTTAAACAACATCTTATGGTTATGTTCACACTATGCAAAGACGGATAGCTTTTGCGCGGGCAAGAAACCTTACTGGATAGGGCTTCTGTTCACATAATTAAGAAAGCCGGGTTGATTTCTGGCACGAATTCTGCGGTAATGGTACGATGAGCCGCGCCCGATCTCCAAAGTGGAGAGTTACACATCAGGTATCCGTTTTAAGACTAGAGGTGAGGTTTAAAAGTGATCCGGCGGCCCTAACCATTTGCTTTGTGCAGTCACAAACACATTATCCTGTTCACTTGATGATGACTGCTCTCTTGTGACATTGTAGTTTACTTTATTTAGACTGAAGATAATAACCTATGGCCACTTCTGCTATTAACAAAAATCCTAAGAGAAAAGGAACCGACAAGAGAGCTTTTCTCAAACACCTAAATAGACTCTAAATGTTGGATTGAACCAGCCACTGGAGTCGACCGAAACCGATGAACCAGCGCCAATAAAACTAGAGGTAAACTGTGTTCTTAAACAAAGGTTTACGGCGTGAATACAGACACTCAAGGCCACATGGGCAAAGCAAAGGCCTAGTGCACATAACAGGCGCAAGTAGGTCAATACTTCGTCCCAAAATCGAGTGACCCAATGCACGATCCTTACTACAGTCTCCTCTGGAGGCAATCGGCGTTTTTACTTGATAAAAAGGCACTGTTGAAGCGCATGGATAAGGATGACCATGGCTGCAGACACGAGCTGCTAAGAATCGTAAAAAGCATCGTCAAGTGGCAGAGGACATCACTGGGGCTTTCGGAATCTTATCACGTGAGGAGCGCCTTTGTGCATTACATTACAAAGAATCGAGATGATTGGGATAGCCGGAATTCCTGATCTCTTGGAAAACACTCTCTAGGTTTTCTTAGGGAACTTCACTCTTTCCTGGAGGAAGGAAAACTTCCAATCCATTGGCACCCTGAAGTTAATCTGCTAGATGAAAAAACCCCAGTGGTTTAGCGTCTATCAAACTTGTACTCTACCACTCTATAGCGACGTATGTAGGCCAAGATACAAATCTCACGTAAAATCTCCTAATTTTGTTTCCGAAAATTCCCAATTTTTTTTCTAAATATCTCCAAAATATCCGGCTTCATTTTCATAAATATTACAGTAAAAACATAAAATGTATCGTGTCATCTAGAGGGGGACATTGGGGGGTACCCAATACCGCAATACCGTAAGAAAAAATGGCAAATACCGAAATACCGCGTCGAAAATCGTCTAAATACCGATACCCCATCTTTTAATCACATTTATAATCGGTTCCGCATACTTATGGTTGCTTCCATGTAGCGCGACCAGATGTCCATGTTTTTTTTAATATTTTGGTAGTCCGCAATTTTCCGCAAATTTTCACTGAAAAGTAAACTACATTCGTTCAGTCTTCTGGTATTTCGACCCAACAGCTAATTAACTCCAATAAAAATAACTCTTGAAAGCGCGAAAAACAAACCAACCAAAACCGTTTCCACGCACGTCTAGTGCGAGTTTTGATATAAAGTGAGTCTAGTCTAGCACGTCAGTCTCTCGTTCTGGCTTTCTGGCTTCTGATTGGTGCCAGAAAAACACACGTTTTCTGGCACCAATCAGAAGCCAGACCGGCGGCGACCGTTTGGAACTGGTCTGGTAAGATATTGTCCCCAGGGGCTCTTCTCGCCGTTCTTTACTTTTCTTCGTTCCATATATATTTTTCCGCCCGTTTAGACTTTCCCTCGCCCCCTTTATCTGCCCCTGGGTCTCCGAGGATGACGCCGCGCTGTTAAGAGGCAAACTTACCAAATTTTCTCTTTTAACTTTACAAGGCGTTTTTCAATTCTCGAAACCCAACATCTAAACTTATTCTTGTTGCGATAATGTTCGCCTCCTTCGCCCTCTTCATAAAAAATTGCCACACAGTCAATGGTGACCACGCCGTCTTCAACCTCAGCGACCTCAGACATTGTGAGAAAACGTTTAAAACCTCGATTACCGGCACAGGTAAACAGATCGACAAGCCTGGTAAGGTAACTTGAGACGACTCATTATCATTGGATGCAACAACAATCACATTGTATATTATCGACCATTAACTGTCACAAAATGACCCACAAATGGTGTAATCATTTACCGTTATGTCTCAAGACTTCTAAATATTAACTTTTATTGACCTTTATGTCTTACTGTGTTTTGTTTTGCGTATTGTATCGAAAGGAAAGCGCAAATAAACGGTACCGTAATACCGTGAACAATCTTATTTCACCGAATACCGTCAGCCAAAATGATGAAAAACCGCATACCGCAGAGCTAGATGATACCGCAATACCGCACGTTAAAATTAAAATTACCGAGATACCGCATGAAAAAAAGCCCAATACCGCAATACCGTAAACCCCATGTCCCCCTCCATCTAAAATGGCAACACATATTTCAGGAGATGATGTTCTTACAGTATGTATGCAACTAAATTCTAAACAATTTAACACATAAATTGACACTTACACTGCAAAGGACCGCAAACGAACGTTCTGAGGCATATTCGTTTGCGGTCCTTTGTAGTTTGTCTTATGTCTTTTTTAAATCTGTTGTAGTTTGATACTTGTAGTCAAGTTGTTCGTATTTTCGGGGTGCATTTGTTTTGTCTGCAAGTGTGCTTATGAAATTCTCAAGTGTTAGTGATTATGTAGTACATAATCACTTAACTTGTAATTGTTGCTCTCTCAGACTCAATCCATTCTTCATTTCCTGTAGTATATTTTTTATATATTTTTCGGCGAAAACTTTCGAAAATCTTTAAAAAAAAATACCCACAGATTTCATGTTTTTGTGGCATATATAAAAGCGTGTCTCCGCGATCAGTTTAACATGAGACATCGCGCTAATAAATAAACCTCGCGTAGTAAAAAATTTTTTCGCTTTTGTTAAAGCAGCTGAACATTGCTACGATGTATTTCTTTCTTGATAAATAAAACCATCAGTTTGGAAATCAAACCATTGAAATGCATTGCTTTGCAAGTGAAAATCAGATTTATACAGGAACGGTGGTTTTTGGCGTTGAGTCTTTAAAAGGTCAAGAAAACTTAATGCTGGAAAATCTACTACTAAAAACCGCGTAGAAAACGTCCGATTTTATGTCGTGAAGAACATTTTTTGTAGAAAAGTACGGTATTCAAAGCACCAACGAAATAACTATTAAACGGACTGTAACTTCACGCGAGTTCTCTATTTCCGCCATCAAATTTGATGCGCCCACGGTATTGTCGTTCAGCGAAAGCACGCATGCGCACGCAAAATGCCCTCGTGTTTATATTTGCATACGCGTATGCGGACCACTTCGCAAGGAGAGCTTGATATCCAACGCCAGGTAAGAGTTTTGCTAAGTTTTCAGTGTATGTTACTTTCATATTCTAGCGAAAAATAAACCTTGAAACAGAATTTGCTTTCGTTTGGATAGAACAACAGCATGATTTCCACAACAATATGGCGAAAATTTGTGAAACAGAGGTTAATCGTTTGATAATGCGGGGCTGCATTTTGAGTCCAATCTAACTTCGAGGTAACAGAACGATTCGAATAAAGATCTTAGATGCTCAAATTCTAGTCTCTTTATAGCTTAATGTTTGAATTTAGTTCGACCATATTTGATGGCGCGGTTTACTTTTAACATTAAGTGATACGCTTGATAGCTTTGTCATTTTCGTTCGTGTTGGAGACTAGAGATCTAAAATCCAATGTATGATAAACTAGATGCATTTGAATTATGGCCTCAATTTTATACAAAAAAGGCTACTAATAATACGGTCATCGTGAACAGACACCATAGACTGTGAACAGTCTCTCTTTTGCTAGAAAATCGTGAGCAAGTGCAATATTTGAGTATGCGAGCGGCGAAGCCATGCGCAACGAGTTGTGGTCCAGCAAGCACACAAAGAATTACAACAGAATCTGTGTGTATGCAGTTCAGTGTGCCGTTTAAAATTCACAGTGTAAATAGTCCTCTCTGTGTACGGTTATGTTTTCTACAGCGTTTTTGATTAGAGTTGACCGGGAGGGAATATTCTTGGTTTGCAACCACTTGACAAGGAGGCAATGTTGGTGATCAAAACTGTAGATTTTTTCTCGAATAATTTACGTTAAAATGTTGTTTAGTTCCCGGAGGAGAGTTGTGTTCTTGATCACCAACATATGGCCAACGTGGCGTCACGAGCAAACAAGTGAAAAGAACCTGGGTGTGTTTGTGTGTTGTTGGGGGGGGTGGGGAGAGACAGACGGCAAGGGGAAGGAGAATGGGGGAGGGGTAAGTGCCATACATGCCAGGGAAAATAAAGTGAATAAAGTTAGTGGTTTGTTTTCTTATTGTTTGCATACGATTGTAATCTAGACCCAAACTCTCTGATTTTTATACCCTATCCAAGGAGGACTAATTAACGATCATTCCTCGAGCCCGAATGGGCTCTGAGTCAATAGCCCATAAGGCCGAAGGCCAAATGGGCTATTGACTCAGAGGCCATGAAGGCAAGAGGAATAATTGTTAATTAGTCCTCCTTGGATAGGGTATAAAAATCAGTGAGTTGGGATTGTTTTAGTAAAATCCAACTAGTTTCACAAAAATATCGAGATAAAACAACTTTAGCTAGTTAAAGCTAGACTTTAATTCTTTTTTTGTCACCAAAAAGCCGGCGCTTTTTGCTACAAGTGGGCTATAAAATATAGCCTAGTAGTAGCTCAACCAATCAGAATGCAGCATTGATAATAGACCACTAGTTGGATTTTACTAAAATATAATGTACCTTTCACAGCGGCACCTACTTAGTCCATACTGGCAATGTAATCCCCCCCTCCTGGGGGGTAGTATGATAGCCACTAATTCAAGTTTTATTTCATTTATTCTTTGCTTTTTTTCTAATACCAAAGATAATGTCATTCTGGGAGGAAGAAGAGACACTGACGAGAAAACTACGCACGTATTCAGTTAAAAATGTAAAGATCACCGAAGCAGGTACGGTTCGAACTAAAAAGTTGATAAAGGACTGCATTGAAAATCAGGTCATGAAGTACTGTCAACAGAATTCGCCTCTTCCAATCTTGAGGCTAGAATACACAGGCAGCGTGTATGAGGGACTGAAAACTGAAGCCGCAGATGAAGCAGATATTATGGTTGTGCTGAAGACAGCAAGGCAGGAAGTAGCGCCTGAAAACACAGAGATTCCTGGTTATGCGCGTCTTAAGGCCAGGGACAACTCTAGACTCCGTCATTATGCAAGTTCTGCAGGATATATTTTCCCAGAGCGACTTCGAAACGGCTGGTTTAATAGTCTTGTAGCCCGAGCAGTAAACAATTTTAATAACACATCAATTTCTGACGTCCATTTGGGTGTGCGTTACCATGGACCTGCAACCCAGATCGACTTTAGAGAAAAGACAACCAACGAGATTTTGCTGTCAACTGATCTCGTTCCATGTTTTCAAACTGGTCCTGATGATTATTTTGTACCAAAGTCTTATACCTTTAAAGGGTTTTCGCATCCAGAGCTTCTCTGGAGACAGTCGTTTTCGCTAAAAGAAAAAGCAATACTGCAGCACATGGATTTCGATCAAGGATGCAGGCACGAACTTCTCAGAGTTGTGAAAACCATCGTCAACAAGGAGGAAAGGTCTTCCCTTAGACCTTTGGGATCATACCATTTAAAAACTGCGTTCATGCACTACATAAAAGAGAATCCGGTCAACTGGGATAACAACTCTCTGGGAAGACACTTTTATGGCTTTCTCCAACGTTTGAAAATTTCTCTCGCAGTGAAAAATCTCCCTCACTACTGGTTACCTAGAGTAAACCTCCTGGAAGAGGATTTCAGTCCTGTCGTTATTCACCAGATGGAAAATCGTTTGGAAAATATTCTAACTAGCAAGGCCAAATTAAATCAAATTCTTGGCTGCAAAATGCCGCAAACCGAAACGCAAATACAAAAAAGGAGGAACCCAAATATTTTGAACGAGCCCTCGCCGCCAGCTCACTTTTCTGGCAGATCTCGTTTTGATGTGCCTCGGGACTCATATTCCCGCAGAAATCCCCAGCAATGGACAAGCGTTTCTCGCACTGATAGGTCGCAAAATGCAGAAAGTAAAACTCAGAATCAGTTTTCATTTATTGCGTTGGGGTTAATGGTTATAAAAATCATATTTGAAATTATAATTATAAACCCAGTAGAGTTACTATTACTTGCGCTAAAGTTAATCAAGAAAGCCATTATGATAATGTTAGAAGCATTAGTGGTAGCGTTACAGCTGTTTGTAGAAATTGTGTGTTACATGTTGTGTTTTTATCAGTTGTCATTATCTGGCAAGAATGAAAGTCTCGCTCTAAGTGGTGTAGAGCTAAAGGACAGTCCTGTTAATCAAACAGATTCGATTTGATCATGTTACCAAACTGGCAAAGGTTCAGTTTCTCAAGATAACATAAGTACTTGGATTGTCAGAAGTGAAATAATGTGGTTGCCGGATTATACAATGAAAACAGTGTTGCCAATCGGAGTGGCTCAATTTCAGTAAAACCGTCGTAAATCTGTAAAATTTAGCTTCCAGGCCCCGGTTGTTCAAACGTTGGATAGCGCTATCCATCGGATAAATCACTATCCAGCAGATAAGTATTAGGAAAACCGATTGCACTATCCACTGGATAGATATTTGTCCACCGGATAGCGCTATCAAACGTTTGAACAACCGGGGCCAGGTGATGAATACTTTTGTTAACAACAAATAAGTGCTTGTCTTGTTAGCTTCAATGATATCACGCACACTAACTAAAGCAGGTTGACCTTTCTTGAAGAAGCTGGAAAGAAACCTAGATCGGTCCGAACACATAACAAATTAATGACTACTTACAGGGGTGTAAACCACCCCTCGAACTAACAAAAATACCATAGTTGTGGTGGTCTCTGTGTCTATTGCTGTAGTGATCATAGCCAAAAAATCTTGTTCAGTATGTTGGGACCAGCCCTTAATGACACGCAAGCAAGTGTTATTTCTGTGTGTGTGTGTGTGTGTGTTATTCTTTTACACGTGAGACCTTAAAAAAGGGAGACGTCTATGTACGTCTCGCCGTTTCGAGTGGCGAAAGTGTTTACGAGCCGCACTTAAATGAAAGAGAACACGCGAGAGAGCCACAAAAGCGTCTTCTTATTAAAAGTCGTCTCCTTTCGCAAGCCACTCGCGCCATGGTTCGTACGTACGATCATGAAAAGGTCTTAAATTTTAGTAGTTGTCTTGAAAAGTCTTTGAATTCGACTAAGGCCCTTGAAAAGTACTTTATTTCTTTATTACATCTTGAAATGTCTTTGAAATTCACTACCTTGTCAATTTTTTTTTGTATGAGCAATATCTTACTTCTGTTCTTTATTTTAATATGTACCTCAGATGAAATTGCAAGTCATACCCAATCATTTTGTAAAGTGTTATCGCGGAAGGTGGTATAAAATAATGTAATGTAATGATGGCTGAAGAAGTAAAAATTGTAATGACTTCATGACGTGTTTTAGCCAATTAAGTGTTCAAGAGGGGGTTAAACAATGCTGATTTTTTAAAATAATTCTTAGTCCTTGAAAACCGTAATTTTTTCTTGAAAAATCCTGGAAAAGTCCTCGAAATTTGCTTGTCTGACGTTGTACGAACCATGGGCGCATAACTTCTCACGATATACCCCAAATGGAGTGCTTAATCTCGAGCTAGCGAGGAAGTACGGCTTTAAACTTAAAAGAATATGAAGACGTCACGGCTCGCTCATTATTGGGCTACCTGTGGCAAGTCCCAATCTAGTTTTTGGTGGCAAGTCGTCCCCGACCCAAAAAGTCAATGGTGGACGCATACCCCGAAGGAGTTGCTTGTCCCGTCCCGGATTTTTACTAATGTAAGACTTAATTTAAAATGAGTAAGATTGACAGCCTGTAAGTCCATTCAGAATAGAAGGAGCTGCAACGAGCTTTTGGTAGAGAGATTTACGTTGATCTGTGTCTGTTGTATTGTGCGTGTAAAAGCAAAGGTAAAGAGAAATACAGAGCTGCTGAGCTGAAGAGTTTAAGTCGCGGAGCTGGTCTCCGTCTAAGGGGTTGGGCTATTACACTACACACTTAAGCCAGAAAAAGTGTAATTATCATCACACTCTCCAAAATATTTAACCACACCATCGCACATCCGGCAGCCTTACGAGCCGCGACAGTCTTGTGTCCCAGTGATTCCACTGCTTCTCATGTCAAAAATACAGACAAGGAATTACAGCTATCAGGAAAGGCTTATTGAGGGTGCCATATTATCAGGAGCTATAATTGACTGGGGTAGCAGACCCCGATTATGGCTCCTCGGCCCAGTAGTTTGAAACGTAGATAACGCTACCGACTGGATAAATCTCTATCCAGTGGATAACATAATTGGTTTCCCTAATACTTATCCGCTGGATAGTGATTTATCCGTTGGATAACGCAATCTATCGCTTGAACAACTGGGGCCAGATATTATGCATGGCCGAAAGGTTTCCTCTTTGGAGATCACAGGACACGTTATCACGAGATTGTGTCGCGTTTGTTTGTACGTTTATTGTAAGCCGTATTAAGAAGTTTTGGAAGAAAGCTTCCTTGTTTGTTGTTTTTTTTGCTTGCTCTTCATTGTTGTTGTTGTTGTTTTTTGCTCGATTATAAAACCGAGAGAGAGAGAGAGGACGTCAAGTTAAGTTTTTGCTCCCATAAATAAAAAACATCTACAGCTTTTGAGCCACACTGAGTTAGTTGAGGGTGTCAATTTTAGCTGTATGGAAAACTGAGTTCCGTTTATTGATAAATTACAAAACTACGAATATAAAAAGTCCACTTTTTTCCTAAAAGTAACTCGTTTCCACTTTTAGTTTACTTTATTTTACATAGTTTGCGTATTGAGGCAGCTACAGAATTAAAGGCAAATGAAAAGCGGCCATTCCAAGAAATCATAATGTGCAGATGCAATATTATAATATTATCCTTGCTTCATATTTCATTTCTTTGTCTACCAACACACCCTGATCATGAACTGCCCTGTTACAAACCCCCCCACTTTTAAACTTTCTCAGTTACAGGCCGAGCTACCTGCAAACAATGCAATTCCATCCAATTTTAAATGAATTCGATTAATTAGCATATTTTGAGCTAATTTAACCTGTTCGAGGCGTTCAAATAGTCATTTAACTCGCTCCCCACCATCTGACTGCCGCGCTCTACTATCTGAACGCCTGGAAACGCCGGCTAGAATTAATTAAAAATCAGTGAACTGCAAAACCTAATTTGATCCGCCCTGCTATAAGTTGTTTCACGCAGCTTTTTCTATTCCGGTTATAAGCTAAGCCCACTGGGATATAAGCCCCTCTAAAAACCTCTTGCGAAGATGTATAAGCTCAGGAGTTAATAAGAGAAAGTTTACGGATGACATCACTAATGCCAATGTACTCTGATTGACATTGACGTGGTGTTGAAAAAGATAATACTATATCCCTATGTTGCTTGGTACCTTGTTACCCTGTCACTCTGTTACATTGTTACCTTGTTACTCTGTTACCTTGTTACCTTGTTACCCTGTTAATCTGTTACCTTGTTACTCTGTAACCTTGCTACCTTGTTACCTTGTTAATCTGTTACCAGTCTGTTACCTTGTTACCCTGTTACCTTGTTACCTAATTACTCCGTTACCTTCTTACTCTGCTACCTTGTTACTCTGTTTCCTTGTTACCTTGTTACTCTGTAACCTTGTTACCCTGTTACTCTGTCACCTTGTTACCTTGTTACTCTGTTACCCTGTTACTCTGTTGCCTTGTTACTCTGTTACCTTGTTACTGTTACCCTGTTACCTTGTTACTCTGTTACCTTGTCACTCCGTTACCCTGTTACCTAGTTACTCTGTTACCTTGTTACTCAGTGTTACCTTGTTACCCTGTTACCTTGTTAGCAGGTGTTACCCTGTTTCCTTGTTACTCTGTTACCCTGTTACTCTGTTACCTTGTTACCTTTTTAGCCTGTTACTCTGTTACCTTGTTACTCTGTTACCTTGTTACCTTGATACTCTGTTACCTTGTTACTCTGTTACCCTGTTACTCTGTTGCCTTGTTACTCTGTTACCTTGTTACTGTTACCCTGTTACCTTGTTACTCTGTTACCTAGTTACTCTGTTACCTTGTTACTCAGTGTTACCTTGTTACCCTGTTACCTTGTTAGCAGGTGTTACCCTGTTTCCTTGTTACTCTGTTACCCTGTTACTCTGTTACCTTGTTACCTTTTTAGCCTGTTACTCTGTTACCTTGTTACTCTGTTACCTTGTTACCTTGATACTCTGTTACCTTGTTACCTTGTTACCTTGTTACCCTGTTACCCCGTTACCTTGTTACTTGTTACTCTGGTACCTTGATACTCTGTTACCTTTTTACCCTGTTACCTCGTTACCTTGTTACCTTATTACCTAGTTACTCCGTTACCTTCTTACTCTGCTACTTTGTTACTCTATTTCCTTGTTACCTTGTTACTCTGTTACCTTGTTACCCTGTTACCTTGTTACTCTGTTACCCTGTTACCATGTTACCTTGTTACCATGTTTTAACATGGTAACAAGGTAACAACCTGTTACCTTGTTACTCCGTTACCTTCTTACTCTGTTACTTTGTTACTCTGTTTCCTTGTTGCCTTGTTACTCTGCTACCCTGTTACCTTGCTACTTTCTTACCTTGTTACCCTGTTGCATTGTTACTCTGTTACCTTGTTACCCTGTTACCTTGTTACCCTGTTACTCTGTTACCTTGTTTCTCTCTTACCTTGTTACCCTGTTACCTTGTTACTCTGTTACCTTGTTACCTTGTTACTCTGTGACCCTGTTACCTTGTTACTCTGTCACCATGTTACCTTGTTAGTCTGTTACCTTCTTACTCTGTTACCTCGTTACCTTGTTACTCTGTTACCATATTACCTTGTTACTCTGTTACCTTGTTAATCTGTTACCCTGTTACTCTGTTACCTTGTTACCCTGTTGCCTTGTTACCTTGTTACTCCATTACCATGTTCCCTTCTTACTCTGTTACCTAGTTACCCTGTTACCTTGTTACTCTGTTACCTTGTTACTCTGTTACCTTGTTACTCTGTTGCCTTGTTATTCTGTCACCTTGTTACTCTGTTACTCCGTTACCTTCTTACTCTGTTACATTGTTACTCTGTTTCCTTGTTGCCTTGTTACTCTGCTACCCTGTTACCTTGCTACTTTCTTACCTTGTTACCCTGTTACCTTGTTACTCTGTTACCTTGTTACCCTGTTACCTTGTTACCCTGTTACCCTGTTACCTTGTTACCCTGTTACCTTGTTACCCTGTTACCCTGTTACCCTGTTACCTTGTTACCTTGTTACTCCGTTACTATGTTACCTTGTTACTCTGTTACCTATTTACCCTGTTACCTTGTTACTATGTTACCTTGTTACCTTGTTACTCTGTGACCCTGTTACCCTGTTACTCTGTCACCACGTTACCTTGTTAGTCTGTTACCTTCTTACTCTGTTACCCGTTTTCCTTGTTACCCTGTTACCATATTACCTTGTTACTCTGTTACCTTGTTAATCTGTTACCCTGTTACTCTGTTACCTTGTTACCCTGTTACCTCTTTACCTTGTTACTCCATTACCATGTTCCCTTCTTACTCTGTTACCTAGTTACCCTGTTACCTTGTTACTATGTTACCTTGTTACCCTGTTACCTTGTTACTCGGTTACCTTGTTACTCTGTTGCCTTGTTATTCTGTCACCTTGTTACTCTGTTACCTTGTTACTCTGTCACCATGTTACCTCGTTACCTTGTTAGTGTGTTACCTTGTTATTTTGTTACCCTGTTACCTTGTTACCTTGTTACTCTGTTACCATGTTACCTTGTTACTCTGTTACCCTGTTACTCTGTTACCTTGTTACCCTGTTACCTTGTTACCCTGCTATCCTGTTACCTTGTTAGCTTGTTACTCCGTTAGTATGTTACCTTGTTACTCTGTTACCTACTTACCCTGTTACCATGTTACCTTGTTACCCTGTTACCTTGTTACTCTGTTGCCTTGTTACCTTGTTACCTTGATACTCTGTTACCTTGTTACCCTGTTACCTTGATACTCTGTTTCCTAATTGTTACTCTGTTAACCTTGTTACCTTGTTGCCATGTTACCTTGTTACCTTGTTACCTCATTTGCCTTTTCCCTTGTTACCTTGTGAAGTGTTTGTTTGTTACTCTGTTTCCTTGTTTCCCTAGGATAGGGCAAATATCTTCTAGCTAAATGATGCTGCAATTTTAAAAAATCATTTTCATTTATAATGTATACATTTATTTTTACAAGCCAGGTCGACTTAAGCTTTGATATAAAGATAATTCATTGAACAATAATTCATTCCCAGCTGAAAAGGTGTTGAAAATTCGAGATTTTAGAAACTGCAGTTGTAGCAATATGAAAGCACTGTTTTCACTCTTGGGCCTGTTTACAAGGAGGGAGGGTAACCCTGGTGCTTCGGAGCGGTAGTCAGGGTCAAAAATAACTTGATGTCTATTTTCTATGTCGTCTTGTCTACTTGTTCTGTCGTTTTGCCGATTTGTCATGTCAACTTGTCGACTTGTTGTGTCGTCGAGATCAGGTAAAGCCGAGACTTGGCAGATAAGTCTGACGACGTCAGGCTTTGTACAACTGACCTCTCAAAGTCACGAAAGAAATTTGAACACTTAAGTAGTAGATGGAGGAAACCGGCTTGTAGTGATCTAGTATTTAATGCAAAACTGAACTGATCTATACTAGTTACTCAATTTCCTCGTGTTATGCGATTTTCAACTATTGTCTCAATAACAGATAAGCTGTGATTAAAAAACGAATGCAATTAAACTTCAGCCTTGTGTGGTATTGACTGAAAGCACCCAAACGTTACACCTGCTGTAGGACCCTTCCGCGTTGTTAAGTCATTTTACAAGGGCGCCTTAATGCACAGTGTTTTACGCAAAATATCTGATCGTAAAAATATTGCCTAGAAATTTTGCTTAGATTTGAAAATTGTGACGGAGACAGATAGAGGACCATAGAGATATGTCGTTTTCGTAAACTTCTGAATGTCATTTACGATTTTTTTGGAAAATCGTGATAAAAGTATAAAGGCCAAAACAAACTATAACAGGCTAAGATTGAGACAGAGAGCCTTCGTCATGGTCCAAACGCTGTTCTCAAAAAAGAAAACTTTTGTTGGATTTCCGTTAACAAGAACCCATAACAGGAACAATTTACCAAAGAAAGCTGATTGCTGATAATTAGTGTGAACGAAGATCGATTTGTAATACAAACCATTCAACCACGACCTTACTCCCAAAAAACGCGTCTATCCGGAAAAAAATATTGTGATTTGTCATGCAAAAATAAACTAATCAACATTAAAAAAATGACAACAGAGCAACAAAGTAACAAGGTAACATGTTAACAGAGTAACAAGGTAACAGAGTAACAAGGGAACAAGGTAACAGGGTAACAGAGTAACAAGGTAACAGGGTAACAGCTAGAGTAACGAGGTAACAAGCCAAGAGAGTAAAAAGGTAACATGGTAAGAGAGTAACAAGGTAACAGACTAACAAGGTAACAAGGTAACAGGGTAAGAAAGTAACAAGGTAACCAAGGTAATATGAGGTAATATGGTAAGAGAGTAAAAAGGTAACCTGGTAACAGAGTAACAACGTAACAGAGTAACAAGGCAACGGGGTAAGTAAGTAACAAGGTAACCAAGGTAATATGGTAACAGAGTAACAAGGTAACATAGTAACAGAGTAAAAAGGTAACATGGTAACAGAGTATCAACGTAACAAAGTAACAAGGTAACAGGGTAAGAAAGTAACAAGCTAACCAAGGTAATATGGTAACAGAGTAACAAGGTAACATGGTAACAGAGTAAAAAGGTACCATGGTAACAGAGTTAAAAGGTAACATGGTAACAGAGTAACAAGGTAACAAGGTAACAAGCTAACGTGATAACAGAGTAACAAGGTAACAAGGTAACAGGGTAACAGAGTAACAAGGTAACAGGGTAACAAGGGTACAGAGTAACAAGGGGACAGAGTAATAAGGTAACAGATGGACAAGGTAATTATAACAGAGCGGCAAAGTAACAGGGTAACAAGGTAACAAGATAAAAGAGAAACAAGGTAACAGGGTAACAAGGTAACAAGGGACCAGAGAACAACGTAACAAGGTAACAGGGTAAAGGGTTAACAGAGCGACAAGGTAACAGGGTAACAAGGAAACAGAGTAACAGAGTAACAAAGAAACAAGGTAGCAGGGAAACAGGGTAACAGGGAAACAAAGTAACAGAGTAACAGAGTAACAAGGTAACAGGGTAACAAAAAAACAAGGTACCAAGGAAACAGGGTAACAGGGAAACAGAGTAATAGAGTAACAAGGTACCAGGGTAACAGGGTAACAAGGTAACAGAGTAACAAGGTAACAAAGTAACAAGGAAACAGAGTAACAGAGTAACAAGGTAAGAGGGTAACAAGGTAACAGAGTAACAAGGTAACAGGGTAACAAGGTAACAGGGTAACAAGGAAACAGAGTAACAGAGAAAGGTAACAAAGAAAAAAGGTACCAGGGAAACAGGGTAATAAGGAAACAGAGTAACACAGTAACAAGATAACAGGGTAACAAGGTAACAGAGTAACACGGTAACAAGGTAACAGAGTATCAAGGTAACAGAGTAACAAGGTAACAAGGTAACATGGTAACATGGTAACAGAGTAAGAAGGTAATAAGGTAACAGGGTAACAGAGTAACAAGGTAACGAGGTAACAGGGTAACAGAGTAACAAGGTAACAAGGTATCAGAGTAACAAGGTAACATGGTAACAGAGTAATGAGCTAACAGGGTAACAGAGTAACAAGGTAACAGGTAACAAGGTAAAAAGGTAACATGGCAACAGAGTAACAAGGTAACTGGGTAACAAGGTAACAAGGTAACAGAGTAACAAGGTAACAAGGTAACAAGGTAACAAGGTAACAGAGTAACAAGGTAACAAAGTAACAAGGAAACAGAGTAACAGAGTAACAAGGTAAGAGGGTAACAAGGTAACAGAGTAACAAGGTAACAGGGTAACAAGGAAACAGAGAAACAGAGTAACAAGGTAACAAAGAAACAAGGTACCAGGGAAACAGGGTAACAAAGAAACAGAGTAACAGAGTAACAAGATAACAGAGTAACAAGGTAACAAGGTAACGTGGTAACAGAGTAAGAAGGTAACAAGGTAACAGGGTAACAGAGTAAGAAGGTAACAATGTAACAGGGTAACAGAGTAACAAGGTAACAAGGTATCAGAGTAACAAGGTAACATGGTAACAGAGTAATAAGCTAACAAGGTAACAGAGTAAAAAGGTAACAAGGTAACAGGTAACAAGGTAACATGGCAACAGAGTAACAAGGTAACAGGGTAACAAAGTATTAAGGTAACAAGGTAACAGAGTAACAAGGTAACGAGGTAACAGAGTAACAAGGTAACAAGGTAACATGGTAACAGACTAACAAGGTAACAAGGTAACATGGTAATAGAGTAACAAGGTAACAGGGTTACAGAGTGACAAGGTTACAAGGTAACAGAATAACAAGGTAACAGAGTAACAAGGTAACAAGGTAACATGGTAACACAGTAATAAGGGTAACTTACAAAACATATTAATAAGAGTAAGGTCTAAAAAGGTGGAAAAAGTAAGACAACGGATTCAAATGAAATGGGTTAAGTCAGTACAATATATGTCCCCATATATGAAGTACCTACTCGTTTCTGGCCGATACCAGATAAGCTGATATTCATAATGGAAGATACAAGAGTTTTATCTAATAAATAAATAAATAAACAACTCTTTGTCGAACACTGAATTTTCTAAGCTGGGATCGTCTATTTAAATCGGTAAAATTGAGTGGAATGCTGATTTGAGAGAATCCCCACCTTCGCTGATAAATCATGTACAAGTGTAATTTCTTTCTTGAAATAGAATTTGTTTTCTACCACGAAGGGTTATAATCTATACCAGAGTAAACACGTCTTTCATAACAAAGACTCTCCGATACAATACTGTCAGCAAGCTTTTATATTCTACATCTCGATTTGCCTTCCCCTTCAAACCGAGGGAAACTTTTTCCAAGCTCATAGACAACCTCAGAGAACCCTGGAAATGAGGTTGGCTCATATCATAGAAAACCCCATGACAGGTTATAATGGACTTCCGGTATACCATCTTGGCTTTTTATAATGTAAACATAAAATTTGTCGTTTTTCGCTCCAACCGGCGCATCAGGCGTAGATCGGTTATGTCTAATCGACTCTGGCAAAATTTTGTAATGGATTCACAAATTAAAGCAATCTGGAGAAGATATAATTTAACTGAAAAATGATTTTTTTCTCAGTCCGTTAAACGCCCCGTTTGTTGAGTACGACTGATAGAAGTTTGTTGTAAGTAAGCGTTAGCGTTTAGCAAACGGTTCTAAAACTTTCCAAAACGCACAAGATATGTTAATGTAATAAACCAACCTGATTGTAAAGGCTAAATATATGGTTATCAGCACTGTTGTTCCCCCCCGTTAATAATGGAGGTCTCTAACACACCGCTAACATTTACACTACAGGCACTTGAGTGTTTCAGAAAACAACCAATAGAAACAGCTGATTAAGTCAGTGATATGAACTTCCGGTTTTCCTTGAAAATATCACTTTGTTTCTTAGAATCAACGACACAATATACCTTTTGTTTGTTATTTGAATGAAATTTGCTCGCATATTTTAAAGGAACTGAACAGTGACTTCTTTGGTTCCTGTCCATTTGAATCAGCCTTTTACTACAACCAATTCAGGTACGTTATTGCCTGTCTTTTAGTGTTCTTTGCGTCGAGATCAGAGATGAAAACAAAAGTTTATGCTTGGCATCGAAAGTTATGTCGGGGATGCGAATACACCTTGCATGGCAACATAAAACAAAGGTGACGACGACGACAACGAAAACGAGCAGCATACTGCATACTAAAAGTAGTAAATTCGCATTTATAGAAACCTTATCGCGATAGACCTTGTCACGGTTTTCGACGCCATCTTGACGAGTAGGCAAACGCGTGAGAAATTACAGTGTTTGTATGAGAATCTAATGTCGAATAATTTCCGTAGAAGGGCTGTTCTGAAAAAAATATGATTTTTAAACTAAAGCTTCACTCCTAAGGATTCTCCTGAAAAAATTGAGGGCGTTACGTGCACTAGAAGACCTATAACCACTTTTTAAAAATTTCTATACATTGGTCTGTACGAAAGTCCCGGGAAAATTACAGACAAATATATGGAAAATCTATAGCAAGGCTCTGGAGAAATTTAAGAACAGTGACGCCCCCAAAATGTTTTAGGACAATCGTTTGCTTTGTAGCTTTAGTTTACAATTGATATTTTTTCATAACAGCCGTTCTAGGGAAATTATTCGACATTAGATTCTCATAGAAACACTGTAATTTCTCACGCGTTTGCCTACTCGTCAAGATGGCGTCCAAAACCGTGACAAGGTCTATTATTAAGCCCCGGCTATGATCAAGCATTTTCGTCCAACATTGTATTTGCCATGCTCAACATGAGCGAACATGGAGTGGCTAAACGATCAAACATTTTTAGGTAATGCAAAATGTTGGATGAAAATTTTTTATCTAGATCAAACATCGAAAGCCATTGTAATGTAATACTGAGAGAAGAGGCTCGACAAACGGGCGTAAAGAACACTGATTGAGAAGAACACTTTAAAGGTATCGCTTGTTTGAAGCTCTGTGGCCTACTGTGGCCGTCGTGGTTCGAAGTTCGGCCGTTTTCGTTAACTTTCAAGATGTGTGGAAAAAGCGAGGCGAGCCAATGGTAAATTTTCGTTTCCCTTGTGAATGAAGAGATGCCAGATCGCGAAGCCGTCATTTATTTGCAAATTAATATTTGCAAGTACAACACACAAAAGACTGGTCGGCAGGTACGGTCATAGCCTGCGAGCAAGTTCTCCATTCTAGCGCGGCCCGCTTCGCTCGCCCAGATAGGAGATCTTGCTCAGTAAGTATGACGTCACTTCGAATATTGTGGCGTTTGTTTACATTTTGCGCGCGTTAGTTTTAACACCGTTTTAGGCAAATCTGACTTTAAAATCACCTTAATATTTAGTGAGATGACTCTTCATTTTAATTACATTGTCTAGGCGGTCAAGTATGGACTGGTTAAGGTTAGAGCTGAGAGTGTGCACAACGAGGGTAAAATTTCGCGCGTCTTTTTTGAAAGTGACGAACGCTTATGTCCCTTGACTGTAGCATTTGTTAATCTTGGCGAAAATGTCAGTCACAGTAAAGCACTACAAAATCACAGTAGACAAACCTGTTAACTTACACTAGGAGTTAACATTATTAAAAAACTTGGGGAGCTACTCAGGGCTGGCAACTCGAACTCCGACCTCTTCGGGCACTAACGGGTACTTACCATCTAGCCTGAGAAGCATTGCGGTTTTGGTTGGGTGCGCAAAGTAAAAAAGGCGGGCGAGGGCAGAGAAACCGCGAGGAGATTGGGGGGGGGAGCAACGAGATCTTTATTTCTCTCGAGGCTTCGCCGCTCGTTCGCGAGGGCTTTGCACGCGATTTTATGGCTTCGCCGCTCAGTAGTGTTCCCGACAAAACCGCCATGCTACGCAGGCTACTTACCATCCATTTACATGGGGAAACCGGAAATTTCGGTCGGAAAATTAAAAATATGAAAATTAAAAATATGAAAATATGAAATTGAAAATATGGGCTTTGATTTAAGGCGATGCAATTCCTCCCCCCCACCCCTCCCCTACTACTACTACTACCTTTTTTATGTTTAGCTGATTGGGACATACTTTGTAGCGGGTCATCTCCCATTACATTAAATTTTATATTTAAAGATGTACAAGATTTCAAGGGTACCTTTTAAGGGTTTCAATTTGTGGATTGGTACCGCTTAGGTTGCTAAAACCTAAAATGACTGCTGCCAGAGTTGTCTCGGTAAATTTTGTGACAATACTTTGAAAAAGTCCTTGAGAATAAAGCGTTTGAAAGTTGCTTTATTACTATTGAAATCTGCAGTGCTAGATTTGTAATTTGTTGTTGTTGAATAGGTACCTCTTAGGGGTGGAAATGAATTTGGGGCACGCCCATAAAATAAGATTCTAGTGCCTTTTAGGGGTATTTTCGAAATTTTCCGGCGAGCATCCCCGCCACTTTTATAGGAGAGTACCCCCGGGGCTTGCTTTGCCAAGATCACACAGCACGTTGTTTAAATCAGCATCAAAAATCAACGATCAGACAATCCAGACAGCTACTTTAGCTGAAATCCCGATATCGAGGGATACCACGATAAGAGTCATCTTGGTGAAGCAAATCAGTCCTGCAAAACGACCTAGCCGGTCCAGGAGCCCATCAATTTGATAGGCTCCTAGCCGGGCTCACTGATTAAAGACCCATAAACTTCTTGCACGTACGAAATCCCTTAGCCAAGCCCGGGTGCGTGATCCCTTTGCAATCGTTCATCCATCATATCGCACACAATGTTATCGAGAATGTCCCTTGGAAATCAAATTAAACCAGAATTGTCATATTTTGAAGTATTATCATCGATAGACCCAGGCGCGAGAACGTCGTCATTCTGCTCAGTTTTTAACGTGAAGATGACGTAGCATTGTTGTTATTGTCCTCAGCAAAATCACACCTTGTGCATAATTAATGTCGTTTTGCAAACTGCCCTAAAAGAGTCGAAAAAACTTAACTGTATCGGAAGTTATCTGTAGTAAACAACCTTGATAATGAGGTAATAGTCGTTTCTTTACTATGGCCATAACTTTAATTTCTTGTTTCGTTTTGTTTTGTTCTGGTTTCTTTCTTTCTTTCTTTTTTTCATTCTTTCTTTTTTTTTTTTTTTCAAAATAACAACTGTCCTTTAAAATGCATTTTACTTCTTTATTTATTCATGAAACAGATATGCCGTTTTGGAATTGGATGTTAGCAGGCGTCAAACTGACAAAGAAACTTCGGGACTTTTCCGTAAAGGAAGTGAAGATCGCCGAAGCAGACCAGGCGCGCTCTAGACGTCTGGTGAGGGACTACATCGAGGACCAGATAATGGAATACTGCCGACAGAACTCTTCTCTTTCGATCTTAAGAATGGAGTACACTGGAAGTGTGTATGAGAGGCTAAAAACGGAAGCTTCAGATGAGGTAGATATCATGGTAGTATTGAAAACACATAAGCCATGGCTATGGGGCGATCCGGAAGTTCTGGTTGAAGATGTAGGTAAGGCTGGCTATGCGCTACTCAAGGCAAGAGATGACTCCAAACTTCTCAGATACGCCAATTCTGAAGGATACATTGATCCAGAGAGGCTTCGAAATGGCTGGTTTCATGGCCTTGTTGCCCGAGCCGTAAATGCTTTTAATGAACGATTTCCGAATTCTGATGAACGTTTAAGTGTGCATTACCACGGGCCTGCCATCCAGGTTGTTATAAAGGAGAAGCAAACCTATAACTTGCTGTTATCAGTTGATCTCGTCCCTTGTTTCGAAACTGGAAATGACCAGTACTTTGTGCCAAAATCTAATAGTTCCATGTCCATTTCTCAGCCTGGGTTTCTCTGGAGGCAGTCATTTTCCCTTCAGGAAAAGTACATGTTGCTGTGCATGGATAGAGATGATCATGGCTGCAGGCATGAACTTCTGCGAATCGTTAAAACTATTGTGAAACGGGAGAGGACATCCCTCGGAGCATTGCAGTCATACCACGTGAAGAGCGCATTCGTGCATTACATTACCAAGAATCGTCATGATTGGGCCGGTCGAAACTCCCTTGGAAAACACTTCCTCGGTTTCCTCAGGGAACTTCTGTCTTTTGTGGAGAGAGGAAAGCTCCCAGTCCTCTGGCAGCCTCGTGTTAACTTGCTAGAAGAAATGGAGCCAGTTGTGCTTCAACAGATGGCAAATCGTCTGAAAAGAATCCTGAGGAGTGAAGCGGAAATGGATCACTTCCTGTCCAGAATACGACTCGTGCAAGGGGAATGCACAATGGCGGAATTAGCGAGTTGCACGTTTAAGGACTACGCCATGGCTTGTATTGGTTTTGTGCTTGAGTTGTTGGCTAAATTGGCTGTATTGGCTTTAGTCATATTATTGTGCTTTTTTTTGGTAGCAATATGTTTGGTTATTGAGAAAGAAAAAAAGAACATACCGGCGTGAGGTTGGTTTTTGACTGATGCCCCATCTAGACAGGAGATAGATATTTTTCCTCTGATTAGCTTGTGAAGAAGGCTTCAATGGATATTTCGTATGCATGTAACACAACGCGCGGGTTGTGTTCCAGGTTAAAACGCGGAGGTATGGGTATAGGACATGTATGGCTGTCATCTATGCAGACCACTTTTTGTGGCACCCAAGTCCGTATTACAGCCTGTGGCGTCCATGTAGGCCCAAGAACTGCCAATCAGACGCTAGCGCCAGTATTCTGGAGCAAGAATAGACTTGTGAATGCACTGAACCTCTTTTTTGTTAATATGACGTGAATGTGAGTGACATGTTTCTAAGTGAATACGTGCAATGAAACATTGCAAATAAAATTTGCACAGTCGGGACCTCGATACAGCGAACCTCCGGCATATAACGAACTGAGTCCTCAGTATATCGGACGATATTCTTCGCCCCAGTAGAAGTATTAAAAATATGTAAAAACTGAACTTCGATACAACGAATCGAAACCTCGTTATATATAGCCAACATATTTTGCCAATCTCTTAGCCCTTCGTTTAATATATCTAGGTTCCAATACAGCTTCAAATGGGTTCCACACTGATAAATCCAGAAGGGGTGCTCGACAATAGTGGAGCGGCCATAAAAAAGTTTTTCTGCTCAATATCGTTTCATATGGACTTTAATATAGTACTGTTTCGTAGACCAACAAAGCGTTGATCCACTCATCAGTTAAATTTCATACTCACTGAAGTATCGCTCGAGTTTTTTATACATAATCAATTAATGATCTTCACCGAAGGCGTTATGAAATTCGAACTTAAAAAACATCATCATCAGAGTTAAATACCATCAACTGACGTGATCCAAATCACTTTGACACTGAAGATTGCTGAAGATGACTACCGCACAAGTTGTCGAAACGTCAGTCACTGTCAACAACAGCAGTCCTCACCGAGTCCTATTCAGGATCATGACGTTCACCCGGACGATCATACGTCACTCAACTGTACGTAACCTACTTATGAAATGACTCCTGGGTTCAAACCGCCTTTCACAACATAAATATAGATTTGTAAACTTATCATAGGTCCTAATTTAAAGATGTTATTGAATTTGAGGAGGAACTTTCGCTTATGCCTGCACTCAGTTGGTACAAGATAGTTACGTTTGTAAAAGTGTTGCCATGTCCGGTTTACATAAAATATAGACCCAACCACCGAGAAGCCAACAAACACTCCGCTCACAGCAAATCTAACCACCCCCCATGTATGTAAAACATTCCTGAAGCACTAAGTGAATTAGCAAAAGGTTGTCTGAAATTACGTCAGACAATAAAGCCTTCAATAATGCAGCTGCACCACCCTATCAAGAAGCGTTACGGAAAAGTGGCTATTCATACAACCTTAAATTTACCCCACCACAACAGCACACCAGAATCAAGCACAAGATAGAGGCGGAGGAACATAATATCGGGTTCAACTCACCATTTAGTAGAAATGTACAAACCAATGTATAGAGAGCGGATAATTCCTAAAAAACTGATCAAGAAATGCCTCCCATCTAACCATAAATTAAGAAAACTGTTTAACAAAAGAAGTATTAATCTGAGTTACAGTTGTTCACCTAATAACGCAGATCATCGATGGACACAACAAAACCATTCTAAGACAGAACACCCCATCTGACAGTGAAACATCCTCTAATCCTGCAACTATTGAGAGCCAACAGAACAAATGTCCTCTAAAAGGAGGATGCTTAGTCAAGGAGGTGGACACACGTCGGCCTCACCGCCTTTGAGTTTAAGAAAAGATGGCGAAATCACCTTCAAACACGAGAGTAAAACAAATGACACAGAGCTAAGCAAACACTTACGGCACCTAAAAGATGAAAAGAAAGATTTTGCGATCTCCTGGAAAAGCCAGCCAAGGCTAAATCAGTATACCAATCCCACCAAACGATGTAACCGATGTAATACCGAGAAATTCTATTATTTTATGTAAATCGGACATGGCAACACTTGACAAACGTAACGACCTTGTATCAACTCCCAGGCATAAGCGAAAGTTCCTCCTCAAATTCATATCGCATCCTTAAGGACCAATCACAAATTTCAGGTGGAATGTTGGCACGTGATTGTGGAAGTAGAACTTTTTTATTATGAACTTCTTAAACTTTCTTAGGTGAAAGTCGAATTAAAAGCTGGAAAACAACTGTTTGAGACTAATGACAGCAATAAAACTGGGATGGGACTCGCACTCTTGCGTGATTTATTACTTCGGCGGAGCGCGAAGTTAAGGATTCGCGCAGCTCTTGAATGTCCCAAAGTTGCATTCGGATGTCCCGAAGTTGCTTCCGAGGTTGTCACGAAGTTAGTTTGAGATTAGCTCGAGATATCTCTGAGTTCTTTGATTTGTTCTTTCATGGGAAAAAATAATTATGAGAAAGTATTACTTCTGGAAGAAATAAAGAATATTAAAAAAATTATTATTTCTGGCTTGCCCAGCTGAACCGGCTTACGTGCAACCCGTCATATCAGACTCTAAATAGCGCTGCAGTTACTATTTATAGACCCGAAACTCAGACAAACAAACTGAAATTAACATTAACAAATTCCTCACTTTTGTCTGACTTTTGTCATTAAATGACAAAAATGACAAGACTCAGACAAAAATTACAAATTTGTGCTTCTCATGTCAAAAATCCAGACAAGGAGTTACAGCTATCAGGAAAGGCTTATTGAGGGTGCCATATTATCAGGAGCTATAATTGGCCGGGGTAGCATACCCCGATTATGGCTCCTAGGCCCAGTTGTTCGAAACGTCAAAACCGCTACGCACTGGAATATCTCTATCCAGTGGATAACGTAATTAGTTTTTCTAATACTTATCCGCTGGATAGTGGTTTATTCGTTGGATAGCCCAATCCATCGCTTGAACAACCGGGGCCAGATATTATGTATGGCCAAAGAGTCTTAATTTCCTTGGAGATCACAGGACACGTTATCACGAGATTGTTTGTTTGTACGTTTATTGTAAGCCGTATTAAGAAGTGTGGAAGAAAGCTTCCTTGTTTGTTGTTTGTTGTTTTTGCTTGTTTTCCGTTGTTGTTGTTGTTTTTGCTCGATTATAAAACCGAGAGAGGGAGAGAGAGAGGACGTCAAGTTAAGTTTTTGCTCCCTTAAATAAAAAAATATCTACAGCTTTTGAGCCACACTTTTTTTCACTTATTTCATTTCTTGTCTACCAAAACAAGGATCGTGATTTTCACCATCGTAAAGCCGTGAAAACCAATTCTGCTTTTCACTGGGCTCGCTATAGAAAGTTAAGAAATAGGGTCAATCGTGAAGTCAAGGCAGCAAAATCCAAGTATTATTGTGACTTGATTTTAGAGGCTAAAGGGGATTCAGGAAAGATCTGGAAGGCGGTGAATGAGGTGTCTTCGCGCAAGACTAAATCCTCGAGCCTACAATGTATCGTAGTTGATGGTGTTGAACACACCACCCCAGCCTCTATTGCATCCGTGCTCAACTGTTATTTCTCATCCATTGGCAGAAGTCTTGCAAATAAAATATCAGCTGCTGCTATGTTCCCAGTCAGATCGGCCACGATGCTACAGTCTTTCTCGCTTGACGAAGTTGATGAGAAAACAGTACTCAAGCATCTGCTTTCTCTAAAGACAAATAAAGCTATTGGCTTGGACAACATCAGTGCGAGACTTTTAAAGTGTGGCGCGCGTGCTATTTGTCCCTCGATCACCAAGTTACTGAATCTCTCTATTCGCACTGGCAATTTTCCTGAAATATGGAAATGCTCGAAAGTGGCTGCACTTTTCAAAACTGGAGATAGGAGAGATGCGTCAAATTATCGCCCAATTTCTATTCTGCCAACAATGAGTAAAATTCTGGAAAAAGTCGTCCATTCCCAATTCTATGACTTTCTGAATTCAAATAATCTCCTTTCAAGCAAACAATTTGGCTTCCGTCCCAAACTGTCTACAACATCGGCTCTCACCAGTTTTGCAGATGAGGTCCTACTGCATATTGAGAGTGGAGAACTGTGCGGTGCAGTGTTCCTAGATCTGACCAAGGCATTCGATACCGTTGACCATACGATCTTGCTATCTAAATTGTCGGCTATCGATGTCTCGCCCAGCACTCTACAGTGGTTCAAGTCTTACCTGAATCATCGTAAACAGCGGACTGCCTGTAGCGATGCTGTGTCTGACCCTCTCCCGATGACCTTTGGGGTGCCACAGGGGAGCATTCTAGGACCGCTTCTCTTCTTGGTTTATATTAATGACCTTCCGCTGGTTATAAAGAATTGCGAAGTGACTTTGTATGCTGATGACACGGTCCTGTACTACTTTGCTAAAGAGCCACACCTGTTAGAAGAGGCACTGAATGATGATCTCTTGAAAGTTGCCCAGTGGTTACATGGAAATAAGTTAACTTTAAATCTTACTAAGACGAAATCCATGATTATAGGCAGTAATAGGAAACTTGTTGGTATTTCCTCTTTTACGTTATCTATTTTTGACACTGATATAAATTCTGTAAGTAGTTTTAAATATTTGGGAGTTATGTTGTCTTCAACTTTCACATGGTCCGACCATATTGAGTATATTTCATGTAAGGTTAATAAAAACCTTGGTCTTCTACGTAGGATTAAGTATTATTTACCTTATGATGCCCGGTTACTTTTTTATAATAGCTTAGTGCTACCTATTTTTGATTATGCTGATTTAGTCTGGGGTGACAAGGACAATGTCTCACTTATGAAGGAATTGAAAATTCTCCAAAACAAAGCAGCTAAGTTGATATTAGATAGATCACCTCACTCCTCATCCACCGATGCATTGATTGTCTTGAGATGGCTGAATCTTGAAGAACGTAGGAAATGTCATCGATGTATATATGCATACAAGTGTATTAATGGCCAACTTAATCATTCTTTGGACATTGTAAGAAAGAGTGATATACATTCCTACAATACGCGCAATAACGATACTATCAAGCTCCCCAAAATTAAATATAATTGGGGAAAACAACGTTCGCGGTACCACTGTTTCAAAGACTTTAATGAATTAGAGAGAACTGTAAGAAACTCAGCAAGTTTTCCAATTTTTAAGAAGTGTCTTTTTTCTGCTTTTTATAATTGAGTACTTGTAGTGTGTATGTTTTAATTATTTCTGTAACTCGATTTTAGCTTGAATTATTTTTTTTTTTTTTTTTTTTTTTTTTTTTTTTTTTTGTATCATATATATCGATTTTAGCTTAACCTTTTTATATTTTAATTGTATTATATAATATACATCTCGTAATTAGGACCTCTATGTAAACCACTCTTGTGATGGAGCATCCTATTAAAAGATTGTTATTATTATTATTATTAAAACACCGTGAACTGCCCTTTTATAAACCCCCCACTTTTAAGCTTCCTCAGTTATAGGCCCATGTACCTGCAAACAATTACATCCGATCGACTATAAGCCCCTTATGACTGCATTAAAATGAATTCGATTGATTAGGACATTTTGAGCTAATTTAGCCTGTTCAGACAGTAATTTAACTCTCTCCTCACCATCTGACCGCCGCGCGCTTTACTATCTGAACGCCTGGAAACGGCTAGAATTAATTAAAAATCAGTAAACCAGTAAACTGCAAAACCTCATGTGATCCGCCCTGCGGGGTTGTTCCAAGCAGCTTTTTCTATTCCGATTATAAGCTAAGCCCACTGGGATATAAGCCCCTCTAAAACCCTCTTGCGAAGATGTATAAGCTCAGGGTTAATAAGCGAAAGTTTACGGTAGACATCATTAACGCCAATGTACTCTGATTGGCATTCACGTGGTGTTGAAAAAGGTAATACTAGGAAGATCGCTCCCTAGACAAATCTGTACCTTTTGGCTTTCTGTCTCCCTATGTCAGTGGTTACCTGACATGTGTAATCTTAATTCCCTATTTCCAAATTCAAAGGACGCTTGAGAATCGGCCATGGAAACGCCCTTCTACTACCACCTCAGCAATTAACGATGTGACAAAAAGAGTAACTGAAACACTTCTACATTTAAGCTTCTTTATTTATCTTTTATCCCCCCCTTAAATGTAATTTATTTGCCTTTTTTCCGCTCGTTATCTTTCGTGTGTTACAACCCTAGAAAAAGTTGATCATCATAATTAACTACTCGGCTTGTTTAGTTTTTGCTATTCTGAGTAGTTTTTTGCTTGATCTACCTTGTTAACTTATTCTATTCTTGTAAACTTTATTTCTAAACATGGCAAATAAAATGGTTGTTGTTGTTCCCATTTTTGGTCACCCTTTTACAAATACATTACCAATAGTTATTAGGGCTATAACAACAACTAAACTATCTTAAGTCGGCATTTCTTTTTCTTACTGTGAGGTCTACTGGATTCAGCCAGCAATGGAGCAAACATTCTTATTTTCATTTAATTAATCGAACCTGCAGTTATTCCAGCTATACGAGAGTTTTTTCTAGTTCTGTTTGACTATTAAGAATTCGCTTCAATCGATTTGCCATTTGTTCAATTACCGAGGGATTGATGCCTTCCAGAAGGTTCACGTCTGGAAGCCAGAAGTGTGGAAGTTTTCTCCTCTCCAGGTGAGTCTGCAGTTCCCTAAGAAATGAAAAAAACTTCTCGCCTAGGGAGTTCTGAGCATTCCAGCCATACGAATCTCTCATGTAAAGCATGAAGGCGTTCTTCAAGTGATATGACTGAAGGGCTGCGAGAGACGTCCTCTCCCTCTTGACGATGGTCTTCACGATTCTAAGAAGTTCGTGCCTGCAACCACCGTCAGTATCCATATGCTGCAACTTTCCCTTTTCTTTCAGAGAAAACGACTGTCTCCAAAGGAGTTCAGGATGAGGGGTATGCGTCACCCCTGTGTAAGGTTTGGCTACGAAGTACTCTTCTGCCCCGATGTGGAAGCAAGGAACGAGATCAACCGATAGAAGCATCTCATTGGTTCTCTTTCTAGTGATGTCAATCTGAGTGGCAGGCCCATGGTAACGCACCTCCAAACGGAAGTCTGAACATGACGAACGGTGGAACGCATTCACTGCTTGAACAACGAGACTATGAAACCAACCATTTCGAAGTCTTTCAGGAATTATGTACCCCTCAGCACTTGAATACCTACGAAGAATCGAACTTTCTTGGGCCTCTAGTCTTGCATATCCTGGTATTCCTCTGCAAGCTTCAACGGTGACTTCTTGCCTGGTTATTTTAAGGACAACCATAACATCCACTTCATCTGCCTTCTCTGTTTTTAGTCCCTCATACACGCTACCAGTGTACTCTCGTCTCAGGATTGGTATCAAAGAGTTACGTTCACAGTAGCTCATGATTTGTTTTTCAATGACTTCCTGCACCAGACTTCTGGAGCGAGCCATGTCTTCATTGGTGATCTTAACATACTTCACAGAAAAATCGCGGAGTTTCTTGGTTAGTGGGTCCCCTCGCCTAGCTTGCGCCGAAGCCGACATTATCTATAATGTGAAGAAATTTACTTTATGTTGGTGTTTTACACACAAGTCTACCACTATTCACCTCCATTTCGGTGAATAATTCTTAATTATTGCCTCTTATAGTAAGAAGCAGTTCTGTTTATTTTAACAATATTCCACTTCTATAGATATGAATAAGCTAAGCTGCGTTTCTGGTAGGCTCGATTTCCGCCGCTCTCTTTTAGCTCGGTCCTCCTCTGTTCGGACCTGTTCGGGGGAGGAGCGCGGGCTCATTTCCCGAACAGCGGCTGGTAATCCAGCCTACGTTTCTGGCTGAAGAAACATGTCTTTCATAAAAAAATACGCAGTCTAAGACTGCATGTGTCTATTGCAGTACTGGTACAGAAATGTAATATAAAAGAATTGAAGAAAAGAAGATAAGACTGAAATGAAAACGAAGGGGGCGGAGTGGAAATAGAATAAGGATAAAAAAGAAAACTTTGTAAAAATGTTGCACAGAACACTGGTGGGAAGAGATTAAGCTGGTACCTTTTACCACAAACATTTTGTCTGAAGAGAACTGTAACTTTATTGTAACATAAACAAAATATTATATAATCCTACAAGGCGATTATAAATTTCTTCCCGAAAGGAATTTTCGCTCTCCCGAAAGAGATTATTCGCTCCCCGAGGGCAATTTTCGATCTCTCGAAAGAGATTTTTAGCTCCCCGTACGGAATTTGACCCTTGAAAAGGGTTACACATGATCCAGCGACGACCAAACGGACATTGAACGCGTTGAATTGCAGAGGAAACTGAATGCGCATGGACATTGGTATCAAAATCCTTCGACTGAATGATTCTTTTGCTGGCATAAAATCGCCCCAAACCGCAAGAAAACCTAACAAACTCTTTAGATATAAATACTTTACAAATGCATAGAAAGCTGTGCTCCGTTATTGATGCGAAATAGGACGAAAACATTGTAGAAAATACAATTAGACTCACCTTCAACAGGAATAAAATTTAGCACATGGTAAAGACGTAGGGCTAACGTCGCAATCGATATAACGCCGTCCAGCACACGTGGCTGCCGAAGTATCTCGTAAGGACCTCGTAATCCGTCTCCTAAACGACAGTTACCGACCGATTGATGATCATACCTCGGCTTCCGGAAATACAATCGCTTAGATCACGGTCAGTCTCGGATTAGCGTCGGCTTTCGATCGGATTCCTTTTGGGATTTCTGTGGCATTTACACTCTTACACTCTTTCACTCTATCACTCGACCCAATGACATAGTGTCTACGCTTCTCTAGAAGCCGTAGACACAAAAGACTCTACGATACAATACAGTCTTCAGGCTTTTATCATCTACTTCTCGATTCGCCTTCCCCTTCAAACCGAGGGAAACTTTTTCCAAGTTCATAGAAACCCTTGTGACGGGTTATAATGGACTACCAGTATACCATATTAGCATTTAGCAAACGGTTCTAAAACTTTCCAAAAGGCACAAGATGTTAATGTGATAAACCAACCTGATTGTATTAAGGGCTAAATATATGGGTTATCAGCACTGTTGTTCTCCCCGGTTAATAATGGCAGTCTCTTTTACACGACAGACACTTTCGTGTTTTAGAAAGCAACCAATAGAAACAACCGAAAAGTCACTAATATGGACTTCCGGTTTTCCCAGAAAATATGACTTTGTTTCTTAGAATCGACAAAACAATTACGAAACAGTTCACACTTACTGTCAAAAAAAGACTTCTTTTCAAGTGAGACGGATGTTATTCGTGGCAGTGTTGGTGAAAACAATGAAAATTTTATAGTTGCAAAATTTGTTAAATCGGGCGTTAATAGTTACATGAGCTCAACTCAACAAAAAAAATATATTTGCAAATACAACGCTCATTAGACAGGTCCGCAGGCACTAGCTAGTCTAGCTAATCCGGCTATGCGAAACAATCAGTCATACTCATTACAAAATACTCGAAGACAAACTTGTTAACAAATTATTGAAAAACTTGCGGAGCGGCTCAAGGCATCTCCGACCTCTTCGGGCGCTAGCAGGTACTTACCATTTACGTGGGAAAACCGGAAATTCGGGTTTGAAAATCAAATGGTCCCGGGGGTAAATCCCTTTGGAAGGCTTCATAAAATATGGACTGTGATTTAAGGTGATGCAATCGAGGGACGGATCTAGGGGGAAGGTGCAGGGAGAAGGTGCAGGGAGTGCGCACCCCCCCCAGATGACCTGCGGTTTTCTAATACAACTGGTATTCTGCAAAAAAAAAAAAAAACTATTTGGTTTATTGGTGTTGAAGTAGAGCAAGAGACGAGTGCACCCCTCCTAAAAAAAAAAATCCTGGATCCGCCCCTGCAATCCCCCATTGAAAATACCAACTCGTGTGAAACAGGCATGCCGTTTTGGAATTGGATGTTAGTGGAAGACAAACTGACGAAGAAAATTCGATATTTTTCCTTTGTGCACTACATTACAAAGAATCGAGATGATTGGGATAGCCGGAACTGCTGATTCCTTTGAACACACTTTCTAGGTTTTCTTGGGAAACTTCAGTCTTTCCTTGAGGAAGGAAAAGCCGCAAATTATACGGGATAGGCCAGGGCCGAGTTGTTCAAAGCTAGGTTAAGGTAACCCAGGGTTAGTGCGAGATTTGAATTCAGATTTGAAAGCTTAAAAAGCACTTCAGTTTTAGTTCTTTTTGTCTACAAATTGATGATTGGAAGCTCTAAAAGTAACAGAGAAAATCATCCGAGAAAATGCTTTTGAACACAAGAAAAAGAAACCCTGTTTAAATTTAACCCCGGGTTAAGCGCTAATCGGCCTTCGAACAACTGGGCCCTGGGCTTCTGTTCACATAAGAACGCTGGGTTGATTTCGGCGCGAATTCTGCGGTAACAGTACGATGCGCCGCGCCTGATCTCTAAAGTGGAGGGTTACATATTGGGAAGGTGTTCATACTCTACCGGATAGCTTAGTATCCGTTTGAAGACAATAGGTGAGGTTTAAAAGTGATCCCGCGACCCTAACCATTTACTTTGTGCAGTGAAACACGTTATCCTATTCACTCGTGTTAACTGCCCTCTTGTGACATTGCAGTTTACTTTATTTAGACTGAAGATAACCTATGGCCACTCCTGCTATTAAGAAAATCCTAAGCGAAAAGGAACCGACAAGAGAGCTTTCCTCAAACGCCTACATGGGGGATTGAACCAGTCACTGGAGTCGACCAAAACCGATGAACCAGCGCCAATAAAACTAGAGGTAAACTGTGTTCTTATAAACAAACTAAGGTTTACCGGGTGAACACAGTCACACAAGGCCACATGGGACCAGCAAGGGCCTAGTGCGCATGACAGGAGCAAGTAGGACGCAGGCCTTGTGTAAGGTGTGGACTAGTAATTAATGCCTTTTGTTGTTTCAAGAAGACATATAAGGATGGCCAATGAAGCGGTTAGCATAAACAGAAACTGGATACTCAGTTGTAATTTATTGGAACGTGCGGACCACATTCTATTCAAAATTACAATATGCAGAAACTTCACAAACATTCCAAACATTCATCTTAAAGTAAATCATGTAGGTGTTTTCACCTGTTGTCAGAACAAAGCCCACGAAATATCAAGTGAGCTCCAGTTTGCAAAAGGGTGAAGATCAGGATACTTTGAAGTTGATAACCTTGCATGAAGGAAATCCAAAATTTATTATTCTGTAACTCGCATCTGTAACTCGCATTCTGTAACTCGCATTTGACAATAAGCCTTTCAGTAGGAGCTTTGAGTTCTACCTTTACCTGGGTGAGTCAAGACAACAATAAGACGACGTGGTCCTAAACGAAAGTGCGGACTAACTTGATGTAACGACTGATGCCTCTTGCATAATCAAAATAAAGCTTAATTCTCCCCTCCCACCCACCCACCTCCAAAAGTCCCTCTTACCTATGTAAAACTGTGTACCGACAATAACATCATTAACATTTGCATTTCTTCACCCATGTTCCAACGTGCCATAACTGACTGAAAACCCCTTACTTTAACATCCAAACTTTCTCAATTTTTTTGGAAGAGACAAATCTGCTTGGCTACTCAAGTATTTCGTTCATTACAGTTTCACTATTCAGGATTCTTTTAATTCGGCATGCCATGTTATTGACCACCACTGGGTTGATGTCTTCAAGAAGGTTTATGCCGGGTAACCAGTAGTGTGGGAGATTCCCTTTTTGCAGAAATCCCTGCAGATGTTGGAGAAAGCCATGAAAATGTCTTCCCAGAGAGCTGTAGTTATTCCAGTCGCTGGGGTTCTCTTTCATGTAGTGCATGAAGGCTGTCTTCAGATGGTAAGATTCCAGTTGTCCAAGGGATGACCTCTCCCTGTTGATGATGGTTTTCACGATTCTAAAG